ATGCGCCGCATGCGTGAGTACAGGCCTGGTGGGAGATGTCCCTCGGCGGTGCCCGCCGTCGCCGTGGGGACCGTGGTGGAGGCAGCGGGAGTAGCAGATCGGTCCGCCGTCCCGAAGAAGCCGCTGAGGGACATTGTCACCGCGGTCTTTGGTTGAGGCTTGGAACATTGTTCCCGCGTTTTGTCCTTACCCTGGACCTTATGCCAGCCGAGCAGGACCTGGAAAAGAACTATGCACTGTTCTGGGTGCTTGCGTTTGTCGTAGACCTGCAGTTTGCAAAAGGGACATGGGTGTCCTTTGATCATCTGCACGGTGTAGGCCTGGCAAAGCTTGAGTGCCGCCGGACCATCTCGTTGCCAGACCTGTGCATGAGCCTGTCGTTGATGATTTTTCATCTTGGTATGGTCGGGGGTCCAGAATCCGCACAAGATGCACCTGTGCTTGAGTTCTTGAGCTTCCGGTCGGGAGGCTATGCTGCTGAGCTTGTCTTTTGGCGAACTCTGCACCGTAGCCCGAAGGGCTGCTAAGCCTCTGAGAGCTTGGCCTTGCAGCTGTTCCTCAGTGGTGAGAGATAGCTGGCGCAGGCGTTCCGGCTGCGTACAAGCTCCCGACAACAAATGGTCGCGTAGGCCCTTCCATTGATGGAAGGCCTTGTCGCATGCGGAACATACTGGTAGACCGTCCCTGGAGTGCCGACTACGATCAAAGGAGGGAGGAATGTACCTCTTTACTTGATCACGATGCATCCTTGTGATGTGCATATGTAGACCATGCGCAGAGACAAAGCCAGACGCACAGTGAGGACAGGCGTGCAACCGCTGCTGCGAGGCCTCGGTGCTCGCCGGAAGATTGTCCACCTCTCGTAGTATGTCCTGTAAGTCCTGTAGGACATGTCCCAGACACGTGACATCACCGTACACTGCCATGTCGGTAGGGTTCGAGCCTGTGACCGAGGCCGGCGCGTCAGGACGCAGTCTGGCCCACGGGCCCAGCTGCACCGTAGGTGCACTGGAAGTAGTCATCCGCTGGACGGAAATGTCAGCCTCGGGGGTAGGGATGTCGGGTCGTTTGCTCAGTCTTTTTAGTCGCGAAGCCATCCGAGCTCGGATTTTTGCCACCGGGTCCTGAATCGAATGCAGCTGATATAGGTCAGCTGTGGAGATGCGGCTGACGTGGACAGGCTGGTTAAGCACGGAGCGTAGCTTGTGAGCATACCAACCTCGGAGATGCCTGGCTGTTTCCTCCGTGAGGCCGACTTCAGGAAGTCCTGTGACCAGAGTGGCCCATACGGTGGTGAACCAAACCTTCAACCTGGCCATTGGCCCTGCAGTTCTGCGGTTGTAAACAAATCGCTTGACCTGCTGGAGCTTTTTGGCAGCTTCCGCTATACGGAAGCGCAGCGTTTGCATTTCGAAATTCCCATAGGAGATTTGAATGCCCAGGTACTTGATTTGTGTTTCAAGTTTGTAGGCGGGGAAGGACTTGTGTTTGCCCAGTCGCCAGTGACGCTGGAGTTTGCCGTCTTGGTCGGGAAGCCAACAGGTGTGCTTCTGGAGCGTGGCCTCGGCCTCTCTGCCACTGAGTTTGACTAGAATGGCGCATTTGGTTGGATTGACGCGCAGGCCTAGTTTCTCTACCTCCGACAAAAGCTGTAGGATCATTTTGTGAGCTGCGTCCACGTCCGCTTTGTTACGGATTGTGCGATGCATGGTAAAGTCATCGGCGTACCCAGTGAAGTATCTGCGGACATTGTCCCAGCCAAATGTTCCTATCAGCCTGTGCAGAAGACGGCCTGTTAGAACGGAAAACAACGTAGGGGCCAGCTTGCAGCCTTGTTTGATGCCTGTGGTGGTTTCCACATCCTGGTGCGCCCCTTGTGAATGGAGCCTGTACTTGGATCGATGATGCAGGCCGTGTATCAGTTTTTGTAGGGAGGGATCTGCGCCTAGTTCATCAAGCAGAGACAAGATTTCGCTGCGGGATACAGTGTCGAATGCCTGTGACAGGTCTAGTGCAAAGGTGATGCCGCCGACTAGACCAACAGGACATTGTCCCCGCTGCTGATCCGCTCTGGTGAGGTTCGCATTGCGACACAGTTGCCGAGCCTCTCTCAGGTGCTGTACCACTCTACTCTGAGCGTCAGAGAGACCCCGCCCCGGTAGGTATGCAAACTGAGGGAGAGGCTTCATTCATGTACGGCAGCGTGAGAGGTTCCAGGAGCTCCTTAGCCGTTCCCGCCAGGCAAGGCTTGTCAGCCGGCTTGCCTGGTTTGGGGATTAAGCAGAGATCCGCTCGTGTCAGATCATCGTCTAGTGGCTGGTCCTGTGTCAGAGCAGAACAGTAATGTGAGAGCGCCTCGGATACCGGCTGTGCGCAGAGCTTCCAGGCTGCGGCCGGTGCTGCTCCTTTCGGAACTGCCTTTCCAGGTTTTATCGAAGCAATATGTTTCGCCAACTTGGTCTGCGGCAGTAGGGGCAGAAGTCCCGCGTCAGAAGGAAGCGGTGGGTGCGCTGCAAAGACCTGGGTGGCGTACTTGCCCAACTCTGCAAGTTCATTTGCTGGGCTGAGCAAGAAACCGTTCGAATCCTTGAGCTGAGCCTTCAGAGCTGGTTTCCACGGTCGAAGATGCTTGAGAGTTTGGTATGCTAGGTGTTGGTCTCCCTGATTGAGAGCCTGGTCCACCTCGGCGAGGAACCGCTTGGTTTGGTCTTTGCGAGACTGCTTGACCGCCAGTTTGTGCTGGTCGTATAGCAGTTGACGGGCAGCTGCGTCTGTAGCTGATTCAGCACTGGTGTGAGCATTGCTCCCTCGTGCAGAGCGCCACATTCTTCTAGCAATGCACGTCTCCGGACTTTCTGGCATTGCCACCGGGGTCTTAGGGAAAAACCTGGAGGTGGCTTCGCCAAGAAGGCGATCCCATGACGCCGGCTGCATGTCCGGAGTGAGACGGGTTGTAACCCACTCAAGCATTTGCTGAGCCGGCAGCGTGTTGTCCCTCACAGCCGCTTGCAGGGCAGCAGCGTCAAACTGATGTGTCTGTATCTGAGGAGGCGGCAGATTCCAGTGACGTACTGGCTTGACAGTCGCACTGATGGGCAGGTGCCCGCTTTTCTTCCAGCTGCCCAGCGGAAAAGCCGCCAGTGGCGTGGAGGCCTTGGCAGTGCCTCCGGCTGACACCTCTCGCGTAAGCACAAAGTCAATTTGTGTGCGTGTATCCCCCTGTTGGTACGTAAATAATGGCTGAGGTCGCCACGTGTTGAGGGCCACCAAGCGATGACTCAACAGGAAGTTGGTGAGCTCTGGTTCATCAGGTCGCGGTTCCTGTGGGCTTATGAGCTCTGGACCTACCAGCCTAGGCTGCTTTTGCAAGGAGCTATTGAAATCACCTGCTATGAGAAGCGTGTCTCGGTGTGGCACCCGTTGCACACATCTGCCAAGAGCTTTTAGGACCTGTGCCCTGTCCTGACGATTGTTCTGCACCTGTTTGGCCGGTGACCAAACATGTTGGTACACAGCAATCAGATGGATGCGGGCCCCGTGCCAGTCAAACCTGACTTCCAGGGCTCTGCCTATGACATGTTCCTGCCATCGCACACCTTTAGGTAGTATGTGTGGGGACAGAAAGACCATTACTCCGTCCGCGCGGGTTGTCGAGGGTTCCTTGCGGGGCGGATGGGTCTTGTCGTCATTAGGCATTGCCTCTGCAGGTGGCTGTATGTGGGCCTTGCCCCCGCGTTGTTTGCGTCTAGAGGCTTTCGGATCTGCAGCAGAGGCAGACGAGATGCAGTACCAGCCTGCAACACTGAATTCAGCCGTAGCCTGCCAGTGGGTCTCCTGCAGCACAAGAACATCACAGGTGTGACGTGCCTCAGTGGAAAGCCATGATTTGACTTCCGACCATTGCTGCTGGCCAAGGTGGCCTGCATTCCATGACAGTACACGGAGGGGCCTGGTGGCCTGTCCTGCTCTAGACCGTGGTGCGAAAGACTGAGTGGAACCTGGCCGCGGTGGGCAGTTGCCCATGCGCCTGAGAAGAGCAGGGGTCATAACCTGACCTCGGTAGGAAACGGGTTGCTGGCTTGCAACCACCTTTCTGCAAACATGCTTGAACGAATTCTTCCTGATCTGAGAATAATTTTGTGAGTGCACTGGGAGCAGCGCCATCCGCTATTTCGTCACGAGGCAAGCCGAGTGACTCCCTCCACCACGCGGTTAGTGGAAACCCTACCGCCTGCCCAGTGGGCCCGTGTTAAAACAGGGTACTGGGTCCAGGAATTGGGACCTGGCGGCTCAGACGCAAACTGTTGGCACATGGCACATGGCTCAGCGTGAGGAACCAACCCTTAGTCGTTCGGAGAGAGGCCTGTTTGAGACCTCTAGCAACGCAAGGTTGGAATCCAGAGCCTGTTCGAAAGCCAGCGCGAAACTTCCAAAACGTCTGAGCCGTGGCGGCTCTACTGATCACTACTACTACTACTACTACTACTACTACTACTACTACTACTACTACTACTACTACTACTACTACTACTGCGACTGCGACTGCGACTGCGACCACTAATAATCACTACTACTATTACTACTACTACTACTACTACTACTACTACTACTACTACTACTACTACTACTACTACTACTACTGCGACTGCGACCACTACTAATCACCACTACTACTACTAATACTACTACTACTACTACTACTACTACTACTACTACTACTACTACTACTACTACTACTACTACTACTACTACTACTACTAGTACTACTACTAGTACTACTACTACTACTAGTACTACTACTAGTACTACTACTAGTTCTTCTACTAGTACTACTACTACTACTACTACTACTACTACTACCACTACTACTACTATTACTACTACTACTACTACTACTACTACTACTACTACTACTACTACTACCACTCCCACGACGACTGCTCGGAAGTAGAAACACCGGCACTTACAAAGGCAATGGTAGCTATGTCATGCAGAGTTGCATCCACTGGCACTTCAGGCAGCGATCGAAGACTTGCAAGGCTTCGCTGGAGGTGCTGTCCTGCGCTGTATGCGACAAGCCAACTCATTCCAAAAGAAGACCAAACATGCTTGTAGACGACTTCCTTGCTGAAGGCGCACGCGCTCTGGAATGCACTGTTCCAGGACAAAGACCTGCGAATTTCTCATTAGCACCTTGCTCAAGCTTGCTGTTGTCATAGGACACAACGACTGCCGAGGTGCAAGACGAAGATGCTGGCAACTGAACTCAATTTCACGGAAGCGACCATGTGTGGCCACTTCCTTCGTCACATGCACTAGCGTGACATGGCGGCATTCCTCTCACATCTGCACTCGATGCAACAGGCTATGAAGGCAAGCCCAGCATCTCACTCACATGCATGCCGGCATATATAGTTGCAAAGCACAGGAGGGAGAACACGATCGCTGCGTACATTTCCGCTTTCAAGAAGTATCCTCGCTGATGATCGGCTGGCACGAACAACAGATGTTAGATTGCTGTACCCTTTGCCATGCGCAGCAAAGCCATATCGCCACACTACCGGTTATGGTTCAGATGTGCAACCCTCTTTGGCTTACTCTTAGCGGGACCTGATCCATAGCTCGCCTCGACGCCAACTCTAGGGAACGAGAAGGTGCTCTTGTGAGCATGCATCCTGCCGCGACGACTTCTTCGGCAGTGACCAGGATGGAATAGGTGGCCCATTTGGCCCAATAGAAACAACACCAGGCAGAAGTCATGGCCTTTGATCCCGCGATAGAAACAAAACGCAACACGCAGCTGACTCATGGGACCGCAGACTGTCGGATCCATGCCGCAGCAGCTGGCAGCAGCAGTGGCATTTGCTGAGGAACTAGGGTCGGAGCCATAGCAAGTGGAACAACAGACGCAGCTTGCATGCACTTGTGGAAGCAACTGTAGAATCTCCCAGCTCCTTGCAACAAAATATGACTTGCGCTATGCTTACAGTGGCGCACAAGTATGGGTTTGGCCAGTCATTGTCGCCAACACGCACGACGGCATGTTGTCATGATCGCACAGTGCATGCAGGCAACTATGAAGATGCCCGGCTCCTTCAGGCACAGGCCCTTGGAACCGTGAGACCAACTTGTCCAATGCGAGCGCCAGCACAAAGAGTTTAGCCCACACAAGGAACAAGAAAAGTGTCTCCTTGGATGCCAGCGGATTTTGCAACCGGACTTGTGCAGGATGAGACAAACCCTCAGCACTTCCAGGTCGGGTGCAGCCGAAGGAGTTTCACGACAAGCTGCTGATCTATTATAGCTGCTGCGCTGTACCCCAAGGTAATGGGGCAGCTGCCCAGCCAGCAGAAAGCGCCAGAACCTGAGCTCCAGATACTACTGCACTCACTGCTGCAGCCTGCCACTCCAGCCGAAGATCTGCGCAAAGCACAGCGAAATTCCAAAGCAAGCGATCAGCTCGTCGCTTTTCTGACATTCGGCCTTCCATGCACCGGCAAACGGCAAGCCCTAGCATGAAAGGATGACTTAGCCTTCTGTTCGTCGGCGGTGATCACCTGTAATACAGCTGCAGCGGTGCCGACCCGTCTGAAAACGTTGTCAGAGGCAGGTCGCCTTCGTCCGCAACATGGCGGCTGGCACCAGCACAAGGGCCAGCACAACCGCGGACAGGATAACGAAAGCGAAGCTCATGCCAGCGGTGTTCCAGTACGGAGTCTCCTGGCCAATGCAAACCCCCGTGCCCTGAACCCTGCACAATCTAGGTTGGAGCACATTCTCGTTTCATGATTAGAGCTCCTGCCATGTTGCAAAGGCATCTGCCGCGAGGAGGCCAACGAGCTGAGACCCGAAACTGGCAGCAATCTCCATCCTGCTGCAGTGCTTGTCCCGAAGCAAACTTCGTGGCTTGTGCATGATGTCGAACTACCCTCGATAAGCCAAGTATCGCCAGCTTCCGCTGCCTGGCTGCTCTCTTGCGCTACGCTCGCGACAAGCAGTGTTCTGTTCATAACTGGAGGTGGAAGGAGCAACTGCCACCTGCTCAAGACAAAGATGGACTGCAGCACGGCATAGCCAAGGACAAAGCGTGCAAACGATACCTTAGATGCACTTGGATTAACTGCTCCAGGATTGTTGAATCACTTGGGGCGGGCTCATCTGGGATTTGTAATCTGTTGCCAATGTCAGGTCAACTGAGAGTGGCAAGTGACCGCCACTGAGCCGGCTCCACTTGCAGCAACAGCCGGTGCATCTTCCGGCCTGGGAATCAAACTTCACTTACACTCCCAAGATATCCCAGTATCTCCCACACCGGGTGATGGAATACGCGGCTCCAGTTTGATCAAGCGGAGATTGCACAATGGTGCGAACAGTGTGGTACTGGGACGTGATAGTGCAGGCCTCCTGAAGTCAATGCACCGGAAGGGCATCGACAACTAGACTACAACCTTCATATTGCTGTAGCGCGGGGCCGTTCAACTGCCAACCAATCTCCCGCGCAGCTCAGGTCTCTGTCAAAACCGTTGATCGCTTATCCGAAGACCGACCACACCTTCTATGTGTTCCTGTTTGCCCGAAGCTCCACGACTCGATGACTCTTCACTGCTGATGACACGAGACCACCATGTGCTCCACTGCCGACATAAGCTCTTATTCTGCGCGAGCTCTCGCTGGGTGGCTACCGACACTGCCGCGCGATTGGGACGCCGAGCCACGTGCCTACTAGATTCGATTGAACGGACGCAGAACTGACGAAGACCTTGTTTATGGCTTTATTCTCATTGTAAGGGCCAAACCTCTGTGGCTAATCAGCATGGCGTGCTGTCAGTCGCGGTGGACACACAGCACCCCACAAGAATAAGATTGAGCTGAGCTGCCTCAATCCCTTCAATGAGACTTCCTCCGTCGCCACATTATCGGCGACCAGCAAGTTGGTCACCTCTCCTTATATGTACCACATTTGAAAGACAGTGCCCCAAACAACTGGTAGGGTGAACAGCACTTTGCCTTTCGGCATAAGCAATCCAACCAAAGTGATCCTAGTGGGTCCTCACAGTGTGAATACTGAATACTCAATCCATACCCAGCACGGTAGACGCAAGTTCAAGGTTGCAGCGCAGGCTCGAAGAATATAGAAGAGCTGGAGCGCACAGAACATGGCGATGGCAGGACCCAGTGTCTGCCAAGTTGCCTGGCATGTGTTCTCATGCTGCAACTCATGCTCCTCTAGATTGAGCTGCTGCCTCCACAACTGCATTCTGACCTTGCCTCCTTCACAAACTTCATCTTGGACTGCACTGCCCATGCAATTGCAGAAAAGCAGGTGGTCGTGCTGATGAGGATCGTCGCCGCAGCCTTAGTCTCAAATGCGGAACTGGAGACTGTGACTGGTGATCGGCGAACATGTACATCTTTCCACTTGGATGTACGTAACGCCAAAGAGCTGAGGCCGTCTGTCCTGTGTAAACCACAGTGGGAGGTGCGTCTGCCTGAGCTTTACATGGTAAAGTTTGGATTTCTTGCTTGCCCCAAACGTTGAAAATTGAATTCACTTCCTCGTAAGCCAAGACACAGAGAATGGCTCAACGGCTGTGACCTTTGCTCTTTTGCGGATCTCCTTCCACAGACCGGACGAGCTGTTGAATCCTGAGATAACGGGGCTGCTTGCCATGCGGTTGCACCATGCCTGGCCGGCCTGAAGTTGGTTGCTGCTGCATCATGTCTCCCACAGCATCCTCCTGCCACTGAACAGTTGCGGGAATTTCTATGCAAACCGCCTCACCGACCCGAAGTCGTTTCATCACCTGCCCCCTCCTGAAGCAGGTTCGGTTGAGCCTCTTTGCGCAGCAGTGGGTGAAGATCCGTTTCAGTGCCCCCATCCGCCTCCAAGACCACCTGCTTCGGTCGGGCTTAGATGAAAGCTACTGGACGGCTTGGACCGTGCCTGCGCCACGTGTGGCGAGGGGGCGCCTCACAAGCATTGCCAGTGTCAATCGTACGAGATGAATCCCACTGACGGTTGATGAGGCCAGGTCGTTCCAAGCACGAAGCCAAACGGCTCCCGGAAACATCATGAAATAAGCCGAGAAGCAGAACGAGGTTGGTGTGAAGATCAGAAGCAGAAAACCTCAGATTCCACCATGTAGCTGCTCACCGCTTCTTCAGAGCAGCAACAAAACTACTCGCTACAAGATCCAGCTGTGAAGTTTCTCCAGGAGGCTCAGTCTCATTCGAAGACGCGTCGATCTATTCAGAGTCTCGACTGTTGTGGCTCACCACGATAGCAACCTGCCCACTGCATGCCAGTATTCACTGAAACTCTATGCACCGAAGGTCGTAGCCACTGACTTCAATTTCCACACTCCGAGCTCGGAGGCCTGTCTTTGGCAGACACATTTGGCTGGAGTTCCCAAGACTCTTTGAACCACAAGCCACGGAACACAGCGTTGCTACGAGTGCAGGCTTTCCGCATCTGGCAGAATGCACATCATGCGGTAGCTTTAGCATGAAGTCAGAGTCACAAAATGCTGTTCGCGTTTCGTGTCATGACATGAAATGCCAGCTGGGATTCACGCAATGAGCTCATGAGCTGCCCCCTGCACCGTCCTTAGGTTTCCGATTGACGTCAAAGAAGCATCGAGACATCATGGCATGCAGCGTCTGAATCCGAATATCAGTACTACTACTACTACTACTACTACTACTACTACTACTGCTGCTGCTACTGCTACTACTGCTACTGCTACTACTGCTACTGCTACTGCTACTACTACTACTACTACTACTACTACTACTACTACTACTACTACTACTACTACTACTATTCCGGCTACTACTTGTCATCTGCTACTACTTTTCCTTCTACCACCACGTCTAATGCTGATACTGATACTACTCAAGATACTACCTACCGAGGGTTCCATTTTTCGAGCGCCCCCCCCCCCCCCCCCCCCCCCCAACCCCCGCCAACTGCTGAGGCTGAGGATATCCAGGATCCTACGGGCCGATCAACTAGTTGCGCTCTGTTGCTTGCACCCGTACAAACTGAGCCACTGCGACTACGTTTGTGGTTATCGTGCAAGGCTTGAGGTTTACATAGAATCCCAAGGTTTCAATCTCCAGGATCTAAGGGTGATAAGTTTCCGGATGTGGAGAAGCCGACACTGACGAAACAAAGCCAGTGAAGCCGGCAGGAGGAAGTTCAACTTCCACAACATTCGGAGCACACTACTTACTGAACTAACAACACAAGTGCCGTTTGCTAGCTCCAAAACGCCTCCACCGTCGGCTCTAAGCCTTGCACCACACCATCCTCGATGAGATACCACACAGGAAGCGAATCATCAAAGCTCACCACTCAGCAAAGAAGGGGAGTGGCAACACAAGAACAAACACACAATGACCAGACTTAGTTACAGCAACAGTACATGTTGCCTCCTGGAGCTTTGGAGTCCGTTTCTAAGGCATGCCATGGCAAGATCTTTCCGAAACAGTGCAGCCAAGCTACATTAGTCCCATCGATCCGACAGCCACAAGCTTCTGTGTGGAGGGTCTAGATGGGAAACAGCACTATCCAATGTTCGCGGAACGTCGAGCCAGTGAGAGTTCTCCTGCCGTGCGCTTTCAGGCGGGGCAGGGGATGCAGGATTTCTGATGCACGGGTTTTGGCTGTCACAGGCCAGGGTTTTTTCCCTCGGGTCACAGGCCAGAGTTTCAGAGCTGACAGGATTTTCGCCGCTGCCCGGCTTCACTGACGTGCAATCAACTTCTTGTGTTGTTCTGCTGCCCCTCCTGAAGTTTCCCAGGCTACCAGCTTGACACGGCTAGTTACCGGTAAGTCAACCCTTGTGACCTTTTTCAACGGGGGACTTGGGCCAAGTGCAGTCGCGTACAGACATAGCTAAGGACCATAGAAATAGCAATGGAGGCAGGGTAAAATCTACACCCCCCTCGCCGTGCTGCTCGAGCTAAGGCGGATAGTACATGGCTCCAGGTTGCCCTGGGCTGCAACGGTTTAGAAGACTTGCCAAAGCGAGCATTTATAAAGCACAACGGGGAAGCCCTGCAGGTCCGAAGCAAATCAAAATGAGGACTCAGCGCCTATGGGTGCGGTTCCATGCATCCCACTCGGCCTGAGTGTAACCTCCACGACGCTGGCGATAGTACTCGTCCCACTGGGCCTGAGTATAGCCTCTGTACATTGGCTCAGGTGCTGTCGTGCGACCACGTCCCTTTTGGGATGGGCGGTTCTGGACTGCGGCCTGGCGATTGCGCTCTGCCAAACGTTCCGTTTGGTCTGTCTGGTTCTGAGCACTACGGAGGCTATCGGTAAGAATCTGCCCGATCTCAGTTGTGATGCCTTCAATTGTGGTAGCCGACACATAGACCTCGCCGTCGAAAGTCAGGATCCTTTTCGCAGCATCGTTCACTGCTGCCACCTCAGCATAAAGTCGCGGAGGGAGGAATGCACCGAGGTAGGTCAAGCCGATGGGGACATCCGCGGTATCATCGATAAACCGCAAGTTCCTCAACGGCTCCACTTCGCAGTGGGCATAATAGACCAACTTCGCAGGCGGGACGTTGCCACCACCATATGGGAGCCGGCACGCAAGTAGCGCTGCTCCTCGCTGCGTCCTGGATCGGGAAGCACAGCGTTCGACAGGTGATCGAATTTCTGCATGTCCTCGAAGTTGCGGCCCTCTTGCATCATCCTCACGTTGAACTGCGCGTCCTTCTCGAAGCGGTCGGACACGGTGTCAAAGTTCAACTTGGCGGCCCTGATCTTTCGGTCTTTGGCGTCACGAATGGCGGCAGCCTCTGCGCTCATCTGACCACGTTTCTTTGGTCCCTCGCCCAGGCCTCGAAGGTCACTCGCAAGGAGATCATCGATGGGCTTCTGGGCTCCGGTCGCAGCGGTGGCAAGAAGGCGCTGGCGGAGTCTCGAATTCTCAAAGACTCGCTTTGTGATTTTCTTAGAGTCATCCGTCTGGGGAGCCTTGCAACGGAGGCAGAACAGCATGCCATTGGCAACGACTGCTGCGCACTCGCGGCATGGGTGAGAGCCAAGTGGGTAAGGCTCATCCTCACCCGCATCCGTTGTATCGCCTTCATCGACTTCAACCTCAACCTCAACCTTGGTTTCGTCAAGGTCGAATGCACCAGCAGCATCAGCAGGCTCACCCTCGCGGGTGGCTTCATCCAAGTCCATGCTTTCGTCTTTCTCGGCGATTGCGGCGGGCTTGGGAACCACCTTCGGCATCTTCTTTGAAGCAATCGCTTTGGGAGCGATAGCCGCCTGTTTTGGGGGCGGTGCCGATGATGAGCTTGCTGCTGCGGCCTCCTCATAGTCGCGCTTGGCGCGGAAAATGCGCTCTGGCTCACCCTCGCGGGCGGCTTCTTTGTGCTCGGCGACATAGAGCGGGAGGTTCTTGTTGCTGGTGTCGATGGCGGACAGCACGCAATCGGGAGGCACATTGTCCCGTGTGAGGACGCCGTCGGTCTCCGTGACGAAGAAAACACATCCAGCGGCGATCGCTCGCTGCGTGTCTATCGTCAGCTCAATCGGCTGGTTGGAGCGCGTTCCACTCTTGTAGTGAGTGTCGTCCAACTTGTACGGGGACAGGTAGTTGTGGGACCTGTCTGACCTCGCGGAGCCGGCGATCATACCATCGCGGAGGATACCCTTCATTCCCTTTTCATTCGTGCGGTGGAAGAGCTTCGGGGGGGTATCCTCGCGGGAGAGCACAGTGACCCCCCTGACGCTGCTCTGCAGGTCGGCCTCGTACTCGGACAATCCGCTGTAGAACCTGGTCGCGAGGAAGAAGTCCGCGTCCGGGTTATTGCCAATGAGCTTGGAGTTGTGCCCTTGGGCCATCCTCACCCGGACAGGGAATAGCGGCTGACCCAGGGTGTCCTTCATGGGGACATCAATGCCCAAAAGTCTGATCCGTCCCTTAGTATCGGCTTTCGCTGCGCGTAGCAGCTGCCTCACACCCCAGCGTGCGTTCCGTGCCGTGTTGAAGACCTGGAGCAGAGTGTCAACGTCTGCCCAGCACCCACGGTCAAAGATCAATGCAGGGAAGTCGTCCATTTCATGGCCACGCAGCAGCTTGGTGAGGAACTTCAGGTCACCGTGTTTGAATGTCACGTGCCTGTCTCCCACAATGTCCTCCGGGTTGAAGGGCTTCATCAAGTGCTTCTTGCCGTTGTAGAAGTACTCATTCGGAAGCTCTGGCACAGTGGCAGCCCCTTGCGGGGCGCTTTCATCAATGAACATGAGCCTTCGCATGGCGTCCTCGTCTCGGTCAGACTTCTTAGTCTTCTTCGGAGGCGCTGGCTCAACAACACGTCCAATCGATGATGGGATGGGGTCGACTTGGTCGCCCTCATCCACCAGTTCCACCGTGCCCGGGGTATTGTAGGACACCTTACCATCTGCGTCCTGGGTGACAATGTCATTGACGCACTCCGCAACAGCACTAACATCAGTGGTTGCACCGATCCTTGGCACATCCTTGCGGATGGCTTTATCCATGGGTGGCCCCTCGGAGATCTTAGTGACGTCGGTTGCGTCAGCGGCATCTGGGGCTTCCCACATCTTGTCCTCCTGGGTGACCGGCATTGGCTTTGCCTGTTTCGGGTTCATAAGCTGGTCCTTCTCCGCACGCCACTGCTTGAAGACATCCTCGAGCACTGGATTGTTGGCACCGGAGCCAGTCTCAAAGTGCTCATAGCGAACAAGCAAAGCCCTGACACAGGGTGCCATCTTCTGGGCAAGCCATTCGCTCCTGCTTGCATTGAAAGTCGCATGCAAGTAGGTCTGGAATAACTCGCGGTTGCGAGGGTCTTCACTGGCGTGAAAGCTGTCATACATTTCCAGCTTTTCGACCAAGGAGCTCGCGGTTTGCACTTGCAGACCGCGCTGCCTGAACTCTTCGAACATAGCGGCATTGAAGTCGTTGTAGGCTGAGTGGAGTTGGAACAAGTCCGCCTCCACCTGCCCAATCACCTTCACAAAACCAATGTCCGGCTCGCCCGCGAGGGCGGCTAAAACATCCGCTGCCCTTCTCACTTTCCGTGCGACGGTCTCCGTTGTGACATTGGGATCTCTGTAGGCGAGTCCCGGTCCTAGCCGCGTGGGGATGCAGCCCCACTGGCCGGAGATCTCGTTCCCGCACCACCAGCAGATCACGTCGATGGTGTGGTCCGGATAGTTGCTCCGGAGCTCCTTCACATGCTCCTCGACCTGCCAGACAATCCACGCCAAGGTTTTACCCCAACACATGGTGTAGCGAGTCTGTGCCCATCCCAGCGTCCAGCTTGCGATGTTCACTTCCGCATCCAAGTCGGCCTTGACGAACACTCCCCGCCTGTTCTTCTTGCAGAGTGCAGTGGAGCTGTCTGACACGACTATGATGGCTCGCTTGGCCTTGGGGCTCAACCTTGCGGTTGGCTTCAACTTGGCGAGTCCCTCGTCACTGAGGTCAGCCATCTGGCGCAGAGCCACACAGGTTGCGTCGGCATGGGTCAAGGATACCCCAGCCGCGCATTGTGTGGATACGCAGCTGTACGCCGACTCCAAGAGCTGGCTCTCATGATCGGCGCCGAGCGAAATGATATCGTTGTTGAGGGCGGCGGATTGGAGAATGGCTTTCATGGCCTTGGTAACTCCATTCCTGTCTGCTTCGGAGGTGTTGACCCTGCAGAACTCGTCGCTCACAACGATGGCTGCCATCTTGGGGATCGTAGAAGTCGCTTCGGGCAAGTCGAGAAGATCAGAACCAGCTGAAATTGCAATGGCAGGTGTGCACATAAAGGAAGCCAAGATTTCATGGTCAAGGCTTGCAGTTTGTTGTGTGTTTGTGCACTCGAGCGATGTGTGTGCAAACGAATCATTTTCGAAACGAGAACACGGTTTGTTAAGCCTACCCCCCTCATCGAGAGGGGAACCAACACACCTCAAACAAACCATTGCCTTCTGAGCTGGGAGCTTCAACTGAGCCGTAGGCAAGAGGAACTGTGATTGATGTAGGAATTGTTTTTGCTTTTTGTTGAACTTCTGGTACCCCCCTGAAGAGTAGGCGATGAAGGAATGTCGTTCGCCAGTGTAGGGTTGTACACCATGTTTTGTCGATGGATGCAGCAGAGTAGGCTTGCGGTATGTGTTGCAATTGTAGCCTTTGTGGTCTTTGCCATAATCATCTGTGTATATTCCCGGTGGTCCCAACTGGCTCGCGCCCTCAATCCACAGTGTCCCCCCTGTATAGTTACCGAAGGAGAACGTCAGGTTGTACGATTCTTTCTGATTGTACTTATCCGTGTGGATGCGGGCCTTGCCATTGAAGTTGAACACGAACGAAGTCCCATGTAAACCCTTTCGGAGATGATCGCTTAACAAATTCATTCACATACCTGCAAATCCATGGGTAATGTTTTGTGCGGTTGGTAATACCAAAGCACCCACCATGGACCCAAGCGCCGAATACCAAGTATTTGGATATATTCTCAGAAGCCATAAACGATCGCGGTTTTGCCAATGATGCCTTGAGATTGGTACGAATAAGCCCAGCTAGCTTCTCGAAGGTCTTGAAGCTGTAATCGTTAGCCTCGAACGATTGTTTAGCGAAGTCCTCGACAACCTTTGATGCATCCGGAGCTGCTGCTACCGAAACCTTGTTGTCGACCTCGACCTTCGACTCGGGTTTGCACCCGGCTACATTCGCGCTGGTTGTATGTCCAATAAGCTTCAAGGCATGCGTCCACTTGTTCTTTTCAGTGAAAGGCTTCGTGAACACATCCGCCACTTGTTCGGCTGTACCAACATTCAGTAGCTTGAAATGCCCAACCTCATATTGCTGCTTTAGCCATGAGAAACTCACCCTCTGTGTCCGATCAGTATGTCGTAGAACACCAGCTTGCCCTAGCAACAAAAGAGTGATTGTCGCCTGGTTATCCTCCATATGTCTAACCTCAAAACTTTCAGGAAGTTGGACACAGAGGCCGTTGATGTCTGCGATTGACAACCCATCCGGTCTAGTGGACCCATAACGAATTTCGTCAAGTTCAGGATCAATGCGTGCAACTATTGAATCTACCCTCTCAGCCCTTGGCTCGGCCTTGCGGCCGGCATCTCCACGCCATAGGAAATACCACAAGCTCAGGCAAGGTAGACCTTCGGCACGTAAACCGTGGTTCGCTGCTACAACTTCGGACTCAGTAGAGCTCATTGTGATAGATGTTTGTTTCTTGCTGAAGGCATTGAGGGGGAAGTACGTGTTTGGTCCGACCAAAAACATCGCACATCCTGTAGTCGATTTTGAATCGAATTCGCCCGCAAAGTCGGAATCACTGAACAACCACAGTCTGCAATCCATTATGCTGTCGCTTATGAAACCGCTCATAGTGACATCAAGCGAAGAGTTTATGTAGCAAACCAACCTGTGAAGTCCCAAGTCGCAATCTGGACTCCACTTGGTCACCCTCGACGCCAAAGACTGTGTTGCCCTTAGAAGATCCCATCTGGCCATGCGAGCAGCGAACAATATCTTCATTAGTACCTTACTAGCAATAGGTTGCAAGCGCCCTGCCTTCTCTCCTTCGGAAGCTGTTGGCAAAGCCACACGTAGCTCATGGAAGGGGGTTGCAGCTGGTTTCAGGGTCTTACGCTCTACCTTAGCAAGCTCGCAGTACCGATCAACGCAAGAGTCGAGAAAGTCCTTCATATCGTACGTGATGCGAGTGACTGGCTTGGTCATTGCACCGGGCTTCTCTTTAACGTCTTGCGACAAGGTAACAAACTTGCTCTGCTTCGCCTCCTTTTTAGCCTCAGACTTGTTACGAACCGGCTTGCCCTTGCGGGCAGCTGCAACTGCCAGCTCGAAATCAGACTGTTCCCGGCCTGCGAGGTCGAAGTAGGTTTCGCCGTCCCACCAATCCTGAAGACAGCGATCGCGCATTTGATTGCAACTGTCAACAACAACTTCCTCCGACTCACCCTTGCGGGTGGCTTTAGCCACCACAGTGTATCTCCGAGGGCCAATCCCCGGGAACATTCTAGCATCATCCTCGTTGGGGACATAAAGTCTTTTGCGAGGATAACGGTGATGTCGGATTGCTATGAGATTCTCAGGGTCAATGTCCCAATAATCTTCTTTTCTAGCAGGAGTTGCAGCTGATGATTCGGGCTCAAACACGTGACGAAAAGGGTGTGCTTCCTTGGGCAGCTTGAGGTTGTGTTCTTCCTTGTGCATGCACCCAAAGTATCTACCAATGGCTTCCGGAAGATCCATATCAATGACGCTCGAGATCAAGTCCCATCCCTCCTTGATAGAGTTCTTAGGGCCAGCGAGTTTAAAGTCATCGACGTATACCACTAAAAGCAGCTTCTTCTTCGGGTGGTAGAATACACTCTTCCAAATGTCAGTCAATACTGCCTCGAACCCGACTTTCTTCAACTCAGCTTCGCAGTGATGTTCCCAAATCCCCCCTGAATCGGGGTGTCAGTAAAGTGCCAATTTGAGTGGGACGACAGGATCTTTCATGCCCTGCCATGCCTTAGGCCAGCGATTGCGAGGCAATCGTACCCAAGTGGCAACCCCTTGGAACAAGGCTTGGGTGTATGCTTGCTTGGCGTCGGCCTGCTGGATGACGTAGCCAGGTTGTGAGCCGAAGACGTCAAGAATCTTTCCTGCTTCCATGGATGCAGGACTGCTCGACATCTCCGCGAAGAGCGCGTGATCGGCGTTTTCATCAAGTACTTTGTTTCCCTGGAATACCGAACGTCCCTTATACTTACGGTTAGGGTCGCCTTCTTTCAGCTCGGCTCCCTTTAGGGTACCAATCTCAAAAACATTGCCAAAGTGAACCTTGGTTTGAGATTTCTTAGCTTCGTTGGCAACCGATTCGAACTCCCTGACTTTGCCTTGTACCCAGCAGCCCTTGTCAACCAATTTCTGCCATTCTTTGTCCATGGCAGCCTGCGCCTTAGGGTTTGTTGAAATCTCCTTAGACGACAGGACCTTGGCGACAACAGCATACATCTCATCTGCGATCTGAAAAAGCTTCTTGTCATATAGCCCTTTGAGTCGTTCCCGATGTTCCTCGCTACACCCATGTAGGACTGGCATTGCAGGTACCGCCTTTACAGCTTCACGATACAGTGCCTCATTCTCCTCATGTAGCTTCTTCTCATGTTCTGCAATTGCTGTTGCTCTTTGTCTTTTCGACATAGCCTTCCATGCAGTATGATCAATAGCGTTAGGGCGGTTCTTGTTGTTCTTCTTGACCAAACATTCCCCACTCCACGTATAACCATACGGTGGTTCTTGCGCTGCTACTGCTGCGCTGGACTTCAGCTTCTGCTTCACAGAGAACGGAACATCATCAAGCAATGCTGCACGGGAATCAGACTTTGACTCACCCTTGCGGGTGGCTTCTTTCGCGTCCTTCGGCGGAGGATCTTTATCACGATCAGGACCAAATAGCTCTGGGAACATTTCATCCAGGTCTTCGCTAAGTTGTTCCTGAATTGTGGCTTCATCGTATCCCCCCCCTTCCTCCAGAGGAGGATGCGGGTTTTGCTCATCAAGGACATTGTGATGTTGTGCATCAAGGCTTGGTGGTTTATCCAAGGCAGGCTCTTGCAACAAAGGAAACTTAAAGTCACCATCTGGTAGCTCCAGTCTCTTAGTGCGAAACACACGTAGATCTTCGTTTTCCAACGCGGCTTCGATGTTGTGTAGGGGAGCAACAACGTACTCAAGCTTGAAGATAAAACCAGGTTGGATGTGATACCCAAGGAATATACCTTCAATCCCTGTGCCAGAAAACTTGGATCGTTCAGGCTTGCGTTGCTTCTTCGGGGCCCAGTAGAGGACTTTCGCTCCAAAGGGAATGCGCATGCCGTTGAACTTTTCACCGTACCTGATTTCCCACGGAATCTGACCATTGTCAATCCTCGCAGTGATGTTAAGACACATAGCATGATGTTGCGATGCAAGAGGCCAATAGCGATCTGGAAGTCCTGATTGCACTAAATTGGCTCGTGTGCCTTCCAAAATGGTTCTGATTTCTCGCTCGATTACGGCCTTGTTTTCGTTCACATACTCTCTAGAAGTGTTGTGACGAGCGCGAAGCTGTCTGGCCGCAAAGTCAAACTCCAACGCATTGTCGGAATATATAACCTTTACCTCATCATCTGTACCAAGGAAGTGCAACATGTCTTCGTAGCACTGCTCACCAGACTTTGTCTTGGAAGGGTACACGTATCTAAACTTAGAATACACGTCCTTCACAACATGAGCCACGGTTTCGTCTTGGAACCCGTAATCCTTGGCATCAGCGGTCACGATGTGATCTACTGTGATGTGGTCACCGAACGATTTACTGTAGATTGTAGAGGATCCACCAGATTTACGCGCCTGGGGCGCATACATCTTGGCCCTTTGGCAAATGGGGCAGAACGGATTCTTTGGTCTATGGGTAAGTCGATGTTCCAAAGACACAGCCTCAGCCCTCAAGGAAGCTTCATCCTTCTTAGACTTTGGCATTGTGTATGGCTCGACATCGCTGTCGGCTTGCGCCTCAACTTCCCCTTCAGGCAAAGCAAACAATGTGATAGTCGCAATAGTCCCTTCAGGTACTTCCCCATAGATTCCGTCCAATTCGTCAATGTTGACTGAATCCTCCAACAAAGACCACACGTCATCCTTGAATCCCCAAGTAGTCCGGATTCTATACCTTGGGAACTTAGGAGCCGGTGTTCGAAGCGTCTTTGGGAAATGTGCCACCTTAGCAGCGGGGCTGCCGTTGATGACAGTCCAACCTGCCTTTAGCAGTTGCCTCGTTTCCACCCCAGGAATGGGAGGAATGCAATTCGCCATCTTTTCGATGGGATCTTCTGCCGCGCCAGCTGGACCTTCAGGTTCGTGTTCGTGCTCTCCCCTAGCCGGTGCGGCGTGCCCTTGCGGGCAGCTGTTTACCGAAAACCCGAACCAGACTTGACAGAGGTCGGTGCAACCTTGCTGCCATCAGATTCTGAGGACTTTGCCGCTAAGCATGCCATCAATGGTCCTCGGTCGCCAAACACGGGGACATTGCCTCGGAGTTGGCAAATCATCTTCTGACCGTCTGGGCAAATGAAATATGGCGCCTCACCCGCTGGCCAGTGGAAAGAGAACCCCTGTTCCATGCACTTCTTTCCTACAGAGCAAACTGCAGGTGTGTTGGGGAGCTCAACGAACTGCAATGGGTTCCTCAATGACTCAATGTAGACCTCATGCTTGGTATCAGCGTCTACTGGTCCGTTAGCAGTGATCAAACTTACTGGGTTGGAAGCAACCTTCTTAGCCTTGCCCTTGAAATGGGCCTCCAAATCAGAGTGACTAATCAGATCTTCCTCGCTACCGGTGTCTGCGATGATTTCGAGGTTCTCACCTGTCACCGCCGCTGCAGCAAGTTGGGGCAGGGGAATTGCTTCTTTGCAGTGAATGCAGAATCCTTCTCTACCCCGACACCTGTAGTTACACTTGACCCGAACCTTAAGCTTCATCCCGTTCACTGCTGATTCCAAGTGACGGGCATTCTGCAAAGCTTCTTCGGTGTCCTCTGGAATTGATGGTGGGCATAGCTCCGCAGACTTGTACCTGAATTCGAACTTGTGCTTGTCTGGTACGAAGCTCCAGCCTTCACCTTCAGGCGGGATGTCAATGATTTCTGGCCTTAGGAACTGGACCTTTCTGCTTCGGGGCTTTCCGGCAGGGCCCTTGCGGGCTGCTACTGCGTAGGCTTTCCCAGCGTCGGCCGGTGACTCGCACCCGTGAGGGTGGCTGTAAGGGAAAGACAGCAAGCGGCTGGCTTGCCCTCACTCTTTGGCCTTTTCTTACTGGGTCGCCTGCGCTTGCCGGAGGGCGATCTCTTCCCGTCCTTGCCAGCCTTATCGCCTTTGGCCGGGACAGAGGGTGCGGCATCCTTGTGCATGAATGGGCAATTCTTACCGTTCTTGCAGGTGCCTTTGGGGAAAAAGATGCAAGGGATCTTGGAGGTGTCCTTCTTCTCCCCACCTTTACCGCCTTTACCTCCACCTTTTCTCGAAGGGGTACGTGGAGGTGTTCTGCCCCTTGTCTGTTCAGGAGTAAGCTTCACGTGCTTGTATGGGCACTTATCACCTCGTGGGCACTTCCCACGCTGGAAAGCGTAGCAGGGCTTGTCCTGGCTTCGGCCGCGAGGGGTGTTCGGGGTATCGGAAGGAGCAGGGGCACCAAATCTGGCACCGTGAGCTTTGGCGATTGCTGTGCGGTTTTTGCGAGTCCTATCTCTTGCCAACAGCTCTTTCACGCATTTGACCAAGTAGTCATGAGTGCGCTGCTCTGTTCCTTCCTTAGCCCTATCGTAAACTTCCAGATCAAACTTGAGCTTGCTAGCATTGCGAAGCTGCCGAAGTAGAATATCTCTCAGTGTAGTCTCCTCGGGTTGGTGGTTCAACCCCGCGATGACCGACTCCCAATTGTGAATGAAAGTGCTAAGGTCATCACCATTCAGCTGCACCTTGAGTAGATCTTCTACAGAGTAGAGGGAGCCTGCTTCCTCGTTGGTCTTAAAGTAGTGTTCGAACATCAGTAGAACCTGTCTACCACGAACGGCCCTACCAGCAGCTGCCTCAGACTCCTTGTAGTTAATGATCTGTCGTCCAAGATCACCCCTAGCAACCCTCGAAAGCGCCGAAAGAATCTTCGTATCCAAAGTGAGGAATTTACCCGTGTCCCTCAACTTCTCCGGATCGGCGTCCCTGGAGTAAACCTCTTGAACCCATTTGAATGCCTCATCGGGTCTGTCCGATGCTGCCCGAACGGCCTCCCTAACTGTGATCTTCCAGCTCCTGTAAGTCTCCGGGTTAGGAAAGTCGGGTAGCTTCACCGTTTCAGCTTCCTTAGCCTTGGGTTTGTCATCGTCAGGCTTCTGGATAACCGACTTGAGTGCTTCAGCGAGAAGTACGCTAGGTTCTTTGTTTTCAGTAGATTCTGCCGGTTCTTTGTTATCACTCTGTTCAGCAGCAGATACCGCTACATTGTGGGCCTTGGAATCCTCAGGCTCACCAATGTCATACCGTTGGGTCCTTCCCAAAACCGTCCGAAGCGACACAGGAATCTCCCTGGGGTTCGGAAGGGTCGGAATCCATGAATGACTAGGACCCTGAACAAGCGGCGCTGCGGCACCACCTTGCGGTGGGCTTGGTTGAAGTTTGGAGCTCTCACTGGGATCGACTTTCACCGGCACGGCACCACCTTGCGGCGGGCTACTCTCCGCTGTCGACAAGACAGTCCTGAGTGAGTCGACCTCAGCTATAAGCTCCGCGTTCCTGTCCTGCAGGTCATCAACCAAGCTATCGTACTGCTGTGCCTCAGAGGTTAGCCTATGGTAGTACTCATTCTCTTCCCATTGAAGCTTTTCCTCAAACTCAGACCCTAAAAAGGCAATCATCTCACTGTGGTTTTCTTCGATACTCGAGCGCAATTCCGCGAAACGGCGTTCATGCTGTCTGTTTTCCGCAGTGAGCGTGCGCGCTGCTGCTTCCAGCTCGGATCGATGTGCATCAAACTGCATGGCCATAGACCTTTCATCTTGACTTTCCCTTTGTGCGCGTGCCAGCTGTGCCTGCAGCTCATTGGCTGATTGTCGTTCTGCTCGGGCGATTGTCTCTAGCACTCGTACTTCATTGTGTAGCTGTCCCACCAACAGGTGTGTGGATTGGCTCACAAATGCTAGCTGTTGACGATGATTCGCATCCGCTGTTGCCTCTAGGTGTGCAATGTATGCGTTGGCTTCGGCGTACACGTTGTCCAATGCAAATCGATGTCTTTGTTCCGCGCGAAGCTCCAAGGCACTTTGAATGCGGGGGTCATTCAGGAACAAGTTCACCTGAGTATTCTCCTGCAACAAATGCAAGAAGTACTGGTTCGCTTCCTGCTCCTGTCTACCACCAATACCACCGTCACCGTTGTTGCCCGCGGCCGTTGTGAACGGCACGATGTCCATTACGGAGCTAACTACGGCTGATAACCTGAAGTTTCCCAGGCTACCAGCTTGACACGGCTAGTTACCGGTAAGTCAACCCTTGTGACCTTTTTCAACGGGGGACTTGGGCCAAGTGCAGTCGCGTACAGACATAGCTAAGGACCATAGAAATAGCAATGGAGGCAGGGCAAAATCTACACCTCCTCGGGCTTGGATCAGAACACCCATGCGACATCGATTCCAGCTTAATCGAAACAAATAAACATTTTCCAAGCTCAGGACCCTGAAACATGCTCCCCAGTTACCGTCGACATCGTTCACAGGGACCACATCGCGTGAGTCCAGGTGAGGCATGTGTCACGGGCTTAGTTGAAAGCTGCAGGGACAGACAAAGCCACGAATGCAACTACAAGCTGCTGACGGGAAGTTTCAGCGGAGAGTATTAAACTACTTTAGGACCATGACTGCACAAGACCATCTACAACATGGATCGCACTCGATAGGGGAACATGCCGAGCAGTATACACTAGTGGCGGAATGCCTCGGGAAAGCATAAGCCCGCATCAGAAACCTTGACGATTTCCCTCTGGATAAACCAAGTATATTGGATCCTCCACGCCTAAAACTCACAGCAAATTCCCAGCAACCCTCAGCTTAGAGACCAGAGGTCAGTACCATCTCGTGGCCGGATCCGCGGCCACCACGACACTAGGCGCAAGCAGCGTGATAACATGGCTGCCCCTGGTTCTTTTCCAATGATTCGATCTCTATTGCCCCGCTGATTCAGGGTGGTTTGCTTGGGTTGATGTGTCAATTACAACCATGTCACTCGACACAGTGCCTGTTTTGAGCACAATGCCGGCAATAGCACCCTTGCGCAGTCCAGAGGGCTTGGCAGAAGCATGAAACTCAACCAAATAAACATGCTGTACGGGATGACGCTAAGATTATTGGCTGTTCTGTAAGGATTGCTTTGGTCGCTTTGGCTTGAAACGGTACTTTGGGAAAGGTTGAGGACGTGTCGGCAGACGTCGCGAAGCTTCGCGACTTGGGGGGTGCTTTATGTTTTGGTGTTTTGGATGGTTGAGTTCGTAGGCGGGTTGAGAAATGGAATGAAAGTGTAGGGGGGAGTGCAGGATGTGAGGTGTGGGGTCAGGGCGGTGCTTCGGATTTTGTTTTGTGCTTTGGGGCTTGGTGTTGTGTTGGGAGGTGCTTTGTGTTTTGGATTGTATTCAGGATTTCGGCGTGGGGCTTGGGAGGTGCTTCGAGTTTGGGATTGTATTTGGGATTTCGGCGTGGGATTTGGGAGGTGCTTTGTGTTTTGGTGTTTTGCAGGGTTGAGGTGTGGGGGAAGGAAGTTGCTTTGATTTTGTTTTGTGTATTGGGATTCGGTGTTGTGTTGGTAGGTGCTTTGTGTTTTAGTTTGTGCTATTTGTTTTGTTGTGAGTTGAGGAGTGCTTCGTGTTTTAGTGTTTTGAAGGGTTGAGGTGGGAGGCGGGTTGAGAATTGAGGTGAAAGTGTAGGGGGGAGTGCAGGATGTGAGGTATGGGGGAAGGAGGTTGTTCTGATGTTGTTTTGTGTTTTGGTGTTTTTGTTGAGCTGGGAGGTGCTTTGTGCTTTGGTGTTTTGAAGGGTTGAGGTGTGGGGGAAGGAGGTTGTTTTTGATTTTGTTTTGTATTGGGATTTGGTGTTGTGTTGGTAGGTGCTTTGTGTTTGGGGTTGTGTTCTGGATAACTGCATTTGTTGTTGGGTTGCTTTGTTTCGGGATTATTGTGTTGGATTTGGGAGGTGCTTTGTGTCTTGCGGGATTTAAGGGTTGAAATGTTAGGCGGGTTGAGAATTGAGGTGAAAGTGCAGGGTGTTAAAATGTGTAGCATGATGTGGTACATGAAGGATCGTCATACGGGACCATAGAGGGATATCCCGAAGACGGGCGGCGAATTTGGAATGGGATGCCGACTGAAAATGTTCCCAGTCTTCCCATCGCTCCCACTGTGCAGCTGAAACGCTGGGACGACGCTAATATGTGCCCGGAACCCCTTGAAGCCTGAACCTCTTCCACCCTAACCCGCAGACTTCAAACCTCAGACATGGCCAATCAAACCCTGTGGCCTCCTGACGCCAAACCCTGCAACTTCTGGGCTTCGGGTTTCAGCTCTAAGTGCGAAAACCTACACAAAAAAAAACAAGCCCAAAATCCTCATCCCCCACCGAACGAGACCATTTTTGCCCCCGATGGGCGTCGATGCCATCGGCCCGACCGCGGCGCTGCTGGACGGATGAACCGTGTCGCTGCTGGACGGATGAACCGTGTCGCTGCTGGACGGATGAAGCGGTGATGCTGCCTGTCGCCTGCGTTGTGGGAAGCGAAGTACAGGGTTTAGGGCCTAGAGGGATACCTGGTATGTGAGGTGCTTTGTCCCTGCTACACAGCAAGGGAGAGGCCGCTTAGGGCGCATACAGAGTTTCCATACAGAGCTGACATGCATAGTTGGAGTACATCTTGCTGAAAAAGTCGATTTCGTTCGAGTTGGGCATGCGAATGGACGAAAACGAAAAGCTCATGCAAAGCCTGGCTAAACCAAACCAAGTTGCCTCTGTAAAGCATCTCTTCCCTTCACACCCGGCGCCGACGTGCCAACGGAGGCAGGGCCCGATGTTCCACCGGTAACATCGGGATTCTAGGATATTGTTGGTGTCATTCTTGGGGTCCTCCTTCTTGGTACAAGGTCTGTCTTCGGGTTGCTGTCCAGCAAATCGAGGCTAAATCCGCAGCCCTCAGCTCGATGAGCCACACAGGTCAACGTGTCGTTGACCTGGTCGGCATGGTGAACCAACAGCTCGAGACCAGCAACAGTAACAGTCTCCTTGCGAGATCGCAAGCTGTCACACGTTTGTCGTCGGCTTGTGGTGCCCGGAGGATGAGGCCGGCGGTGGAGGAGACAGGGAAGGGCGGTGGAGGAGAGGGGAGAGGAAGCAGACCCAAACTTACCCACTATCTCAAAAGGGGTTCTGTACTAGTTTCGCATGGGGTCTGGTTCTGCAGGCCAGGACCTAGACTGGCTGGCTTAGAGGGGGCGATGTATCAAAGGAGCATCACCAGCTCCCTGTGCAGATGGGATCGTGGAGGTCATGCTGACCTTACGCAGGCCCTATTGGCGACACTGCAAGATGAAGGTGACGTTGATTTTGGATCTCTCTCACGTGCCAGAAGGGGCAGAGCAGAAAACTTGTGCGACGGCTCTGCGAAGGATCAAGGGGCATCTTAGGCCCGCATGAGTCCACCAAACTTAGCGACTGCTCCATCCCAAGCCTACAAAGCTTGTGACCAGCAAGTCCCCTTCTCACTATCTTGGAACACATCCTTTGTCACAAATTCAAAGGGGCAGCTCAGAAGGATGCATCCAACCCAACGGCTGAGGTGCTTGAAAGCTTCATGCAAGGCCTGAAGCTGCCGCTGCTGCAGCATGGCACCAATTCGTTAGCTGCGAAGTCTGTTAGCAGGGCTTGTGAACCTAATGATACAAAGGTCGACAATGGCTCGTGTCAAGGACTGAATGAAGGGTTCACAGAGTCGAGAGCGTTTTTTGGCCCCTTCAGAGGGCCGCTGCGTCGATCGAATGCAGACAAGTCAGACTAGAAACTGCATGCAACCGGATGTTTTGTCAGGAGACCGAGGCGCTGGCCCTGGGTCTCGCGGCCGTGAATGCCGCAGGGGCCGGACATGTTCTTCGGCCTCTTACGAACTTTCGAGCATTCTGCTCATCTTTGAGGGTAACCTGTGCGGAGTCCTCAAGTCCGCAACCTACAGTCCGCATCCAGCTTTGCATACCACTCTTCCTGCCACCTTTCAGCCGCCCAGTGCGTCTCGAGCGATGCATTCCGCCGGAGTGGGAACCGAAAGGGTCACTTCCGTGAGCTGGCTGCCTGCGAGGTTGCACATTGCCTGGATGCGGAGCGCATGTCACTGCTTCCAACCGCTGCATGGCCAGATGAAGCCAGTCCTACCGTTGAGATGTCCACGACTTTAGTAGTCCTTCGACTTGCCAACCTCGCAACCGCCAGCTCTTCAAAAATATTTTACAACCTCTGCGAAAATAAAGCCGGTGTGCCGCTACTGGGTGCAACGAGTGTAATCAGTGATTCATAGAACTCTGCCGAAGGCGATGCCAACCGCCGAGGAGGCCAAGACTTGTGCACCAGTCTCGGTGCCGCTTGGGAACTACGCGTCAAGCAGACCTGACAGGCTCAGGGTTAATCAGGGATACTTTGCTCTACGACTTCCTAATACAACATGTTTGACGTCAGCAACTCGAGCGCCGCTTCTCTCCTGGATCTTTGCTCGCGTCAGCCTGTAGAGTTGTCAATCCATTGCATGCAAACTCAGAACAAAGGAGCGGCTTCTTAGCAAAAACCTACGTCCGTGCCCAGCTTTCGCGACTGCTGACATGCAGGGAAGTACCTAGGGCCTAGGGCCTACCAGGAATTGTTGAGTGATCACGATCACTGCGCGTACGGGACCAGCAGGAAGATTCTCAACACATGTTTAAGCGGTGCTGCTACCAGAAACTGTCATGTGGTTCTCTTCTTGATGCCTCCACTGACATTGGGAACTATCCAAACGCTCTCCCTGTTGTCTGAAGGCTTCAACTCCATAGAAGGGAACTCCATGCTGCTAATGCAATCCCCCTTGCTGTATGACAGGCTCACAGGTATGTCCCAACGACTTGGATTTCTCATCATTGACGTGGGCTCGCTAGCTCCGGAAACTGGCAGACCTTGCCCAAACCGGCGGTGGTTGCACTTCGCACAACAAGAACACCCAACAGATGTGTCCATGGGCAACCCTCAGCCCGCTCGGAAGTGGTGGCACGAGGAACGAGTTCAAAGATCCCAGAGAAAACCCCAGTATTATGCAAATGGTGCTTTCGAGGAAAACTCCAGCACAAGACTCACAAGGTTAGTGACAGGGGCGCTCTGTGCGACTGTTGAAGAAGCCTGCTCTGCCGAGGGCGTCGGAA